TGTTGGGAAATCACCTGTCGGTAACGATCTGTGATGGGTGCACTCCCTCTCGGTAACTGCCTGTGGGAGGGGGGGGCGGATGGGTGCGAAATTTCTACCCCAAACACTTCAACACTCCTTTCATATCGTGTTTCACAAAAAATACGGGATAAAAAATTATTTGGATTGAGATGGATATGGGTATAGTGAATAGATTAACACGAACACCTACATCCACACTCACACACACCGGCTAGCCGTGCACCGAGCCCGAACTTCCCGGGTTCGGTCGTTCATTGCGGTGCAATCAATACTGAGTTTTGGCTCCATCCAAATCTTTCCTTCAACCCCGCACAGTTCCCTCAACTGTACCGAAGATCTCACGAAATAAAGTCGTTTTCTTTCGTGAGGGTGTTTGTGTGGGTTAACAGAAGTGCGACAAGTACACCCCACCCACACCCCAATGCCCAAATTATTTGGCGCCAAAAAGTGAAGTTGAGGGTCCACGCTGAAGTAGCAGAAACTAAAATGATTTTATTTCGTAAGATCTTCGCTACAGTCGAGGGAACTGTGCGGGATTGAAGGAAAGATTTAGATGAAGCCAAAACTCAGTATTAATTGCACCGTCATGAACGATCGAACCCAGGAATCTCAGTCTGTTCCTGGGTTCGGTTCATGCCTAATATAGGCACACCAACACATCCACACCGTAATGGCAGCACCACAGGTGGGCTGAGGTGGACTAAGCTCACCTAGAAATTGCCTCAGCCCACCCAGACTTTTAAGAATTGCAAAGAATTGTGGTACCTTAGGTGGGCTCAGGTGAGCTCAGCCCATCTTAGTGAAAAATCCTGGCGCCGCATCTACCACACAAAACCTGGTACACCTACTGCTACACCTACAGCCACATACCCACAACCCCACACACACACCCTCCACAAATCTGCCTACTTCAGCAACGACTGTCAATGTTTTATTATCCTTTCTATGATTTAAACGTTTTTTTACAGTTTTCATACACACAAGTGACAGCAATCCCCTCTCTGTGGTCGGAATTCTTCCAAACCAACGAACCGAAACAATGGGGACAATTGACTTGCTGAAAGGCTTTCTTGCAACTGTCATAAATACAGGTGACAACCACTCCAGGTTTGTAGTCAGCGTTTTTCCAGATATTTGAACCAAAACAATGGGGACAATTTAACTGCTGAAATGTTTTCTTACAGGTTTCATACATGCATGTAACCACTCGACCTTCTTTGTAGTTAGCTTCCTTCCAGATAAGTGAACCAGAACAATGTGGACAGTTTAGTTGCTGAAATGCTTTTTTGCAACTATCATAAATGCAGGTACCAACTTTTCCTTCGTTATAGTTGGCGTTCTTCCACATAATTGAACCAGAACAGTGGGGACAATTCAGCTGTTGAAACGTTTTTTTGCAGACTGCATAACAACAAGTGACGATTTTGCCTTGATTGTAATTGGCATTTTCCCAAATAATTGATCCCAGGCAATGAGGACAGTTCAACTGCTGAAATGTTTTCTTGCAACTTTCATAACAACAAGTAACGACTTTGCCGTGATTATAGTTGGCATTTTTCCATATGATTGAACTGGAACAATGAGGACAATTCAACTGTTCAAATGTTTTCTTGCAACTTTCATAACTACAGGAGACAACCTTGCCAGAATTGTAGTTGGCGCTTTTCCAGATATTCGAACCGGAACAATGAGGACAATTGAGTTGTTGGAATGTTTTCTTACAATTTTCATGAATGCAGATGACAATTTTTCCTTCATTATAGTTGGCATCCTTCCAGACCATCGAGCCAGCACAATGAGGACAATTCAACTGCTGAAATATTTTTTGACAACCTTCATAAACACATGTAACAATCTTTCCAGAATTATAGTTAGCATTCTTCCAGATATTCGAGCCAGAACAATGAGGACAATTCAGTTGTTGAAATGTTTTTTTGCAGGCTGCATAACAACAGGTGACGACTTTACCTTGATTGTAATCGTCATTTTTCCAAATAATTGATCCCAGGCAATGAGGACAGTTCAACTGTTGAAATGTTTTTTGACAACCCTCATAAACACAGGTAACACTTTTTCCCGGATTGTAATCAGCATTTTCCCATATATTTGAACCAGAACAATGAGGACAATTTAGTTGGTGAAATGTTTTCTTGCACTTTTCATAAACACAGGTAACAACCTTTCCAGAATTATAATTAGCATTTTTCCAGAGATTTGAACCGAAGCAATGGGGACAGTTGAGTTGCTGGAATGTTTTTTTGCAGGTCTCATAGATACAGGTGACAACCTTCCCGGAATTGTAATTTGCATTTTCCCAGATATTTGAGCGAGAACAATGAGGACAGTTCAATTGTTGAAATGTTTTTTTGCACTTTTCATACACACATGTGACAATCTTTCCAGGATTATAATCAGCATTTTCCCAAATAAGTGAACCAGAACAATGTGGACAGCTCAGCTGCTGGAATGCTTTTTTACAACAATCATAAACGCAGGTGACATCTTTTCCTTCGTTGTAGTCGGCATCTTTCCATATAATTGAGCCAGAACAATGAGCACAATTCAGCTGCTGAAATTTTTTCTTGCAACTCTCATAAAAGCAGGTAACAGTTTGTCCTGTATTATAATTGGCATTTTCCCAGACGTTTGAACGCAAACAATGAGGGCAATTTAGCTGCTGAAACGTTTTCTTGCAATTTTCATAACAGCAAGTGATGACCTTGCCATGATTGTAATTCGCGTTTTTCCATGTGTTTGTGCGAGAGCAATGAGGACAATTCAGTTGCTCAAAAGTTTTCTTGCAGTTTTCATAAGCACAGGTAACAAGGTTTCCAGGTATATAATTCGCGACGTTNAAGGTTTCCAGGTATATAATTCGCGTCTTTCCAGATGTTCGAGCCAGAGCAATGAGGACAGTTGAGTTGCTGGAATGTTTTCTTACAACTTTCATAAATGCAGGTGACAATTTCTCCTTCATTATAGTCGGCATCACTCCAGATAATTGAGTCAGAACAATGAGGACAATTTAATTGCTGAAATGTTTTCCTGCAGTTTTCATAAGAACAAGTAACAGTTTTCCCTGTATTATAATCGGCATTCTCCCAGACTTTGGAACCGAAGCAATGAGGACAATTAATCTGTTCAAAGGCTCTCTTGCAGCTTTCATAAGCACAAGTAACAGTCTTTCCGGATTTATAGTTAGCATCCTTCCAGATATTTGAGCCAGAACAATGAGGACAAGTCAACTGCTGAAATGTTTTGTTGCAGTTTTCATAACAACATGTAACAACTTGACCTTCTTGGTAGTTGGCGTCGTTCCACACAATTGGACGCGTGCAGTGGGGACAATCTAGCTGTTGAAAGGTTTTCTTGCAGCTTTCATGCATGCATGTAATGATTATGCCCTCTTTGTTATTGATTTCTTCGATTATGTTGGGACGTGAGCAGTGAGGGCATGTTATAGTACCCCTCTGAATACTTAAGCGGTTTTGTGGCTGGGACCAGGTGGCTTGTGTTGTAAAATTGGCCTTAAGGGGAGTGAGTTGATTTTGAAGACTAGTATCACCCCTTGTGGATGTATCTAGGAATGAACGATAAATAGTAAACGTTTCTCTGTGAGCATTGGGTAATGTTCCTGGTAATCAGTGTCGAAGAGTTTCAATGGGG